ATTTTAAATAGGGAATAATTTTTAAAAATTTTCAAAGATTTTAAATATGACACAGCTATTAATATATTTGCTTTTTAATTGGTTTTATAGGGGAAATGTTTTTTTGTGTTGTTTTTTAACATGCTGTGAGCCGCCCTGAGTCCCTCTGGGGAGAAGGGCGGCATAGAAGTTTAAATATAATAATAATAATAATAATAATTCAAAGTTATAATGGCACTGAAAAAAAAATGACTTATGACCGTTTCATTCAACCTTACAACCGTTGCAGCATCCCGTGGTCGTGTGATCAAAATTCAGATGCTTGGCAACTGGCTGGTACTTATGACGGTTGCAGTGTCCCGGGGTCATCTGATCCCCTTTTGCAACCTTCTGACAAGCAAAGTCAAAAGGGAAGCCAGATTCATTTACCAGCTGTGTTACTAATTTAACTCGTGCAGCGATTCATCTAACAGTGGCAAGAAAGGTAGAAAAATGGGGCAAAACTCACTTAACAACTGTTTCACTTAACCACAGAGATTCTGGGCTTAGTTGTGGTTGTAAGCTGAGGACTACCTGTATAGTCAGGAAATGGGGCCCTTGGCACATTCAGTGCCCCCGGGCTCTGCAAAATAGCCAGTTTTTTAAGGCCTTATGAAAGGCTGAAAGGGTTGGGTCAAATCCCATAAAGTAGCTTTGTTGTAACTGCAAACAATTGCTAAATGACCGGTTATAAATCGAGAACTACCTCTATTTCTATCTAATGTTATATTATACAAAACTGAACAAAGGAGTAATTAAAAATAACCTTACTGTATTTTATTGGGTTTTTAAACTATTTCTTGCCGTTTATATCCGAGAAAACTTTGCTTCATCCAATAACTCCCTGTTTTCATTTCATTAGCCAAAATTTTACTTAAATGGAGATATTATATAGCCTTTAATCAAGACCGGGGGTTGAAATCCTGAATATAGTATCTGAAAGTAAGCCCCATACAGCCAAATATTTTGAGTGAATGAATTTAGTATTCCTTTATTTAGCTTTATTTGATCTTCGTCTGTATGTTTTAAAAGCCCAGGACTAGGAATTTCCAACTCATTTAACACACTGTTAGGAACTACTTACTCATGCATCGCTGGCTCAGTGTGTTCCCATTAAAGAGAATTTATACCTAATAGCATCCCATTTAAGGAGCAATTGTTGTCCTGCAGTGTCATTTGGCTGGAGATGATGCCTGAGACATATTCAAGGATGGTTAATGGGTTGGGAAATGGTTCTCACCTCTGCCAAATCCTCAAAAGTCTTCCTGGGTTTCTCTTTACAGGGTCGACTTGATGCCCTTTGGGCTTTGCTAAGGCGGCAGTACGACAGAGTGTCTTTGATGCGACCGCAGCAAGGAGATGAGGTGGGTGAACAGATGCACCTGAGGGCTTTCCTTATCAGGTTGAAGGATGGGCACCACAGCTTCTTAAGCTTCCTGGGAGGGCTTGAGGTGCTCAGTGCAAGGGAAGAACCTTCTAATGGTATAGGGCAGGGTTCTTCAAACTTGGCCCTTTTATGACTTGTGGACTTCCACTCCCGGAATTCCTCAGCCAGGCACGCTGGCTGAGGAATTCCGGGAGTGGAAGTCCACAAGTCATAAAAAGGCCAAGTTTGAAGAACCCTGATATAGGAGAATGTATGGATCTTCTCCCCTATGCAGTGGGGCTGGGTTACTATTACCCTCCTCATCTTTTCTAGTACCTTCTTCTATTTGGTATCATATGATTATATTACCTTGATGGTTGTTGTTTGTATGTACATGTTGTTTGTATGTTTATATGTATACTGATCATGTTACCTTGTTTGTATGTACACTGAGAGCTTATGCACTGGAGACAAATTCCTTGTGTCCAATCACACTTGGACAATAAAGCCTATTCTATTCTATTCTATTCTATTCTATTCTATTCTATTCTATTCTATTCCATTTCATTCCACTCCATTCCATTCCACTCCATTCTATTCCACTCCACTCCACTCCACTCCACTCCATATAGTCTACTCTACTCTACTCTACTCTACTCTACTCTACTCTACTCTACTCTACTCTACTCTATTCCATTTTAGATAGAATGACTTTTCTCCACTATTTTACATAGCACACATTATTCAGTTGAGTACTTCCAGATGTTTTATTACTTGCTTGCTTATCTATTGGCCTTGTAGATCACTCCAATGGCAAACAGCTCTGAGCAGGAAATAAGAAAATGGCATTAACAGTGTGTTCGGAAAGCAAGAGATTGGGAATAGGAGATGTGAGATGTTATCTGGTGAAAAGAAGGAATGGGTGTCTTCATCTGTGGTGTAAATTATGAACTAACCTTAGTTTTCCTCCCACAACATCCAAAACTACTATTCAGGCTTCCTCTTCTGGCCCATGCTTCAAGCCTCAGTGGTAGTTTATCATATACTGTAGTGCAGGGGTTTCTAAACTTGGTAACTTTAAGACTTGCGGACTTCAACTCCCAGAATTCCTCATGGCTGGCTGAGGAATTCTGGGAGTTGAAGTCTACAAGTCTTAAAGTTGCCTGGTTTGGAGACCCCTGACATAGTGCTTTGAAATCTGGGGAGTATCCTGTGGGTTCTAGCTCACGTTTGCCATTTCATAACGCTGTACATGTATGTATGAATCAGGAATTATTAGCTAATGAAGGGAACTGATGATGTTACCAAGTTGGGTAATGAAATGTCTGCAAGAAAACAACCAAACTCAGAGAGCACCCAGGTCCCCACAGTTCAACCCTGAACTACACATATTCTCTTTTATTGGAACTGTGTATTGCCCTCTAGTTACTTTGAGCTTGCAACCTTTAGAATTTCTGGTCAGTGGGAATACAATGAGTTGCCATTCGAACACATCTGAAGGATTCCTAGTTGTGGGCAAGCTAGCGTAGACCTCAAAATGGAGATTTGTTCTTGGCTGTTTTAATTTTGTCTTCTTTGAGGGTCATAAGACAGACTTCCCAGCTTGTATATCGTGAACCGTCAGGGGTGAAATTTGTCAATAATGTTGGCATTAGTAGATAAGAATTCTTGGCGATTTTAAACATCCTTCGTGTAGAAACTTTCACAAAGTATGTTAAAAACTGCCCGCGATTGCAAATGAAAGGAGCCAGAAAGTTAGCTCAGCTTTCAAAAGCTCTTTAAGGAAGAATTCATCAAGATTTCAGTGTTCAGTAACACTGCTTTTAAAATTGAACAAGTTAAAGGCAAGACTGGGATATCATTCAAAACCTCTGAACATCTTTCATTCATGCCACCGGTGCTTTCCGAGACAGGTGGTGGAATTGCACATTAACCGGGCAATTTTCTCCAGGTCTAATCAGCAAGAAACTCCGTTGAAACCCATTACTTTCAAGTAAACCTGCTAAATATGAATCAGTTAAATGATTCAGAGAAACCCACTTCTGGGCAAGAAGTGTTTTCATCAATTGATTTCTCCTTAAATAACTGGAGATTATGTATTATAACGTGTGATTTTTTTAGTTCCTTCCCATATGGCATAATCCCTATCTATAAAGAATCACCACTCAAATGTATGTGACTTGTTACATGTACTTCGACAATTCTGGAGCCCCTAAAATAAGAAATTGGGGGGGGGGGAGGAGAAAAGAAATGGTCCTCATTAAAGAAAACAAACAGACAAAAAATAATCACCCTGAATGCAAAGGAGTTTGGCTTCATCTGCAGATTGGTAACAGTTTAGAATTGTTTCTAATTCTGATTCGAATTTAAATATTGGCAATTGACTGGCTGTTCCCGGATTCCATGTCACGAGAATGGACAATTTTTGTGCATACTCTGCGGGATACTAACACGGTAAGAGGACCAGGCCGAATAGAAGCCTAACAAATTCAAATAAAATTCATTTCTTAAGACCACTGAGAACTTCGGTCATCTATAAAATAAATAACAGCCAATGTTTGATATGGTTAGAAAAATAAAATAATAAAGAATATTTGGAATAGTCAAAGAAAAGGAGGGAAAAAAAAGAGAAGGCGGGAAGTAGTAGAAATATGTTACCTCAGAAGGCAAAAAACCTCCGTCCTTGAGCATGGTGCCAGCCAATCTAAGAAAAACAGAATAACAGAGTTGGAAGGGACCTTGGAGGTCTTCTAGTCCAACCCCCTGACTTGGGCAAGAAACTCTTTACCATTTCAGACAAATGGTTGTCCAATCTCTGCTTAAAAACCTCCAGTGTTGGAGCACCCACAACTTCTGGAGGCAAGTCGTCCCACTGATTAATTGTTCTAAATGTCCAGAAATTTCTCCTTAGTTCTAGGTTGCTTCTCTCTTTGGTTAGTTTCCATCCATTGCTTCTTTTTTTTTTTTTTTTTTTATTAATTTTTGTAATTAAACAACAAATACCAATATGATGCATTGTCCTGCCTTCAGGTGCTTTGGAGAACAGCTTGACTCCCTCTTCTTTGGGGCATCCCCTGAGATATTGGAACACTGCTATCATGTCCCCCCTCATCCTTCTCTTCATTAAACTAGACATACCCAATTCCTGCAACCATTCTTCATATGTTTTAGCCTCCGGTCCCCTAATCCTCAGTTTCCTAAATTCCTTCCTCACTTCACTGGTAAAAATTCGACGGAGGGAAAAAGAAAAGAAAACCAAAACAACCTTTTCAGGATAGTTGCCGGAAACTGGCTGTTGGCTAGCTAGGAAGTAAAATATTATCACCGAGTCGTGATTTGCCATGTTGTAAAAACATAATTACTATCTGGGGGAAAGCCACGTTTGATACCCTGAAGGAAAATTTATTTGGGTATTCATAAGTTCCTCAGTACAGACACGTCTTCAGAGCCTCATGTGATTAGACGTCAGGAAATGGAGCCTCCCTTTCCCGGGATGCTGAAACGCAACCGAACCGAAACGTGTCCTTGCCATCCACTGGTCTCTGCACTTGTCCCATTAGAATTCCAGGTCTCAATTAGCCCATTGAAGCTGAAGCATGAAGAATCAGAGGAGAAAACCCATTCTTCTTTCGTTTACCCCCCCTCCCCTGTTCTTTTTTTTTTTACAAATGCCATCTATTAATGGGGAGGCCGGCTTGGTTTGAGAATTGCCTTCCATTGATCAGAAAAGGCTTTGATTGCCGATGGAACCCCTCGGAGTCATGAATTTTTCAGCCGGCACTCAGTGAGGTGAGCGCGGCTTGTACAGGTGTGAGTTAGCAGGTTGTCCCCGACATCTGTTCCAGGCAGAGGCAGTAGGCCCACATCCCCCTGCAGGGAGACCTCTGGGTTGTCAGCAGATGTAGTTAAGGAGGAAGAATGGGACTGTTTGGTCTCACATTTGCTGCCTGAGGCGGGGCTGAAACACGAAAGGTAGAGTGGAGATGGACACAGCTGCGCTCCCAAAATTGCCCGAGGCACAAATAGAACAAACCTAATGTAGTTTGACTCCGTTAGGGCGGGGAGAGAAGCAAAGAAAGCTACTACAGAGAAATGCAGTGGGGTAACATCTGCCACCAAATTTCCAGGGAGTAACGGGGGATGGAGAGTGGGGACCCCAGTCTCCCTCCTCCTCCTCCTCCTTGTGCTTAAGCCACAAACTCTTTTGAAGACCTTCCATCAAACATCTGGAGGTCATCCACAGGAGCTCTTGTCTTTTCACAGCCTGCTTTGGTCTGGGTGTTGATTTGATTGGAGTTAGTTTTTTGGAACCCACCAAGAAGATAATTTATAAGCGATACACCCACCGTGGAGACCCTGGCTATTTGTTTCAAGTCAGGAGAGAAGAAGAGAGAAGGAGAAGAAAGGGTACTTTTGGAGTTGTTTTGTTAAAAAAACAACAACAAGAAGACAGGAGTCAATTCTCCTAGAATGCTCCTTGAATTTAGTTGAGGCTCTGTTCGCTTTCCGACCGCTGCAGTCGCTTGCGGGGTTTTTTTTTTAAGGCATTGTTGCAACGACATCTTGTCATGCTGTTACAAAAGATGGCGTCGGCTGTTCTTTTCTGCCTCTTCCTCGGTGCGTCTTTCAAGTGGGTTGGGGGCAACCGTAGACAGAAACTTGGCATGAAGTTCAGTGTGAGCATGAGGTTTCTTTTGCTGCTAATCTGAGCTGGCTCATGCACGTTGATTTATGAGATCAGGATTGACACACAGGCACCTAAATTACTCACTTTTCTTTCTGGGGTGGGGGGAAGAGAGGAGGGAGGGGCAACTCTCTTTGTTAGTTCTTCTTTATGAAATTTTTTCCAGGGTTGAAAAAAACTTATTACCACATTTGTTTATGTATTTATACGTGCATGCATATAAGCATGCATTTGGGGAGGCTGAAATAGGAAAGGTTGATTCCACCTACTGAATGCATTCACTTGAGCCTAACAGTGTACAAGGATACACTCTT